GAAATGAAAGCAAGGAATGATGAGAGCACCGGAAAGAGAAGAATGATTTAACAAATGATAACACGTTTTTATCTTTGCCGGGACGCATTCCTGGTAAAAAATAGGGTTCGACGAGTATCGTTTGGTAACCGTAAAGTGCATCCCACAATCATCAACAAAAGGTATCACGTAAAGGTCATTTTACAATGTTGAAACCAAACTACGCTTTAGTCATCTTCCCAACTTCAGTAAAATGGGAGTAATGTTAGTAATTTCAAAAATGGAATTTTCAGGTTGAGCCAGACGCCGAGTTCGATGATGTGACAAATGAAAAGCCTAAGACAGAGCAATATGAAAATATGCTTGATAATTATGTAGACCTGATATTGGACGAAACGATGCGACAAATCAAAATTTCGTAATCAGATATGTTTTTGGGATCAAATAAATATCGCCATACTCATTCTTGTAGCCTTGAAATGCGTATAAAGCTATTACAAGAACAGGATCAAAAGCAAGTGATAAATGGTAGCAAACAATCCAATCTTTTTTTATTGATTGAAAATTGAATTCAATGGATGATAATTTGAAGATAAGTGATAACGACAACTATATCCGTACTTAACAACACTTAAACTTATAAAATAACATTTGTTCAGGGGTTGAAATAATTCCACAAGGACAGCAGTGTATAATGAACCGAGGTAATGAAAATCAGAAAAAAGAATGTCGGTGCATAAGAGAATACAGAGGGTGAGTGAGAAAGGTCTGAAATGACACATAAAGAAAGAGGGGAAGAATAACGAAATAGTGTGTAAACATATCTAGTCATTGATACCCAGTGATTGAGAGTGTTTCACACCAATGACACTAGGGAGTAAGGGAAAGAAAGAGAGAGAGGAAGATATTAGTGGTTATTTGGGGTAGGTTCATGTTTGGGACGCGATTGGTTATGTGTTGCGAATTAGATAGGGCGATCATGGGCTTGCGGGTTTTTTTGGTTAAGGTTGGTAGTATTGTTTAGGTTTATGGACTTGCGGTCCTGATTTTTCATCCGGAAATGTGGAATATTAAAGGTCGGGCCGATTATTCAATATCATAGAATGTGTTGAGAATTCAAAAAAATTACCGACGATTTTCCGGAAAGGGTTGGGGATGGCAGAGGAAACTTCAACTCCCAGAATGCTCCGTCCATCATTACTATTTTCGTTCTATGGTAATAAAGGTACAAATAGCTTCTTGCAGAGTTAGTGCTTTCAGAGAAACGTATCACTCATTCATCTGGTCTTTGTGAATTGGTGCAAGAGCTGTTTTATCCTGATCTGAAACCTCGTTAGGGTTATCAGGTTTGAGAGTCACATAAAGCGGTATCACAGTTGTAAGAAAACAATGAGCGTATTAAGTAAATTTCTGGTTGATACATTTGGATTAAAAATCAACAAAGCGACATGCTATGAGATGGTGCATACGTGGAATCCTGATTGTTACGGAGCTATCGCCGATTCATTGCTACATGGATGGTTATTCTCCTTCAAGACCTACATCATCTTTTACGGTGTAGGTTAAAGGATTATAACACGTAAATTGTGACCTTTACTAAACACTGGGCATGCTGAGATCATGTTACTAATATTTGACTCAGATAGATTGTTCACAAATACGCATTCCTTTGCGTATTACTCCACTCTTTCTTTCCGAGTGATATTAGTTGTTACTTAATGGGGAATTATGACAGTATGAGGAATTAAGCTTCACGATACAACTCAATACGCATGTATAAAGCCTTCTTTGCATCCACAGAAAAACACCGAAAACTTGTTGAACTTTTACAATAAATTTAATTCTTTTCCAGCGCAGTAATAATTTTCAGTTGACTAATATCTTTTCGGCAAAGGATGTACGACAAGTTCGTTGGCGTAAAATATTAACTGATTCAGTTCGATCTTCTGTTTTCTTAACGACTAATTTGATTATTTTCCTTTGGCTAACGTGTCAGTTGAGGTTCGTCGGAACTGCATTTCATTACAGTTCTTATTTTGAAACTTATTATTGTTGTCGTCGTTGCTGAATAGGTACTTCTTTATATAATTATAGGAAAATATTGGGATTCTTCACCGTTCCAACACTTGGTTTTATAAATGGGATGATTTCTGCACTGCTTGCGATTTTAATCGAAAATCGGAGGAGGAGGCCACTGCTAGCTTTGTATCTAACGAATTTGGTCTGCGAAAATTTCAATATAATGTTGATTTTGATTTTTCCTTTATTAGGAAGAGGTGGAGGGGGAGAAAAGTTTACAAGATAAATTGGATAGTTATAGCTCCATTCTCCATATAACGTCCGGTTAATTTTGCGATAAATTCATGTACTTAGTATAGATGAGAAATGTGAGAGATAAATGTTCCTGGATGAAGTGTGATTTTTAGGAAACAAGGACCGAAAACTAAGACTAAGTGATTAAGTCGATTATTTTGTTTCGTTAAAGCATTTGCCATATATTAGCATCTATAATCCCTGCTATATATTCCACCACTTGAACATTACAAGTCTCGGTAATTTCCAACCTCATTATCTGCATCCGGATTTTCCATCCATGTAGTGGCGAATAATTTGAATGACTAGGAATGCAGCAACGTCAATGATTTTGGAATGCTTCTTTGTTGATTTACCATAAAAATTTATCCTCATATTCAGCGTATCTTCGAGTAACCTTCACTAAGGAAGCATTGCTCTTGCAGGCATCAGAAACAGCTTATCATCAGCTGGTCAATCATGGTTATTTGAAGTATATACCAAATGGTACAGTGATTATATTTGGAATTGGACTCGCAGGATTACTTCATTTATATTGTAGGGATAAACTTCATATCAATTTAAGGAAATCTATTGAGTATGTTTTATTGATTTAGCAAATACTTCACATCCTAGCATTATGCATTGTGGTATCTGGGCCAGTGTATGGTGTACTGCAAGGTTGTTTGTTGCCGTAGAGCAGCAGTGAAGTGTCAGGTTCGATCCCCTTACCGTATTCAGCAATTTTAATTAAACATTCAGTTGCCCAGACAGACAGCGAAGTTTGTAAATGAAGACTTGTGCTCACAATCTGGGCAAAAGCAATGTGAGATATATTCCATGATGTGGAATGATTTGTCTTCCATGTTATCCCAGCATCTACCTTACATTTAATTAAATATGTTAAACTTTTGTGGAAGGATAATAGTTCAAGTTCAACCATTCACCATAATATTTGATATAAGAAAAGGAAAACAACAAAAGAATGGGGAATAGCCGTTCTTTAATTCACAATGATAAATTTTCCTTAATTCACAATAAAAAATTAAGAGAGGAAGAATTATAGTTTTTTTTTATTAATTAGGTTTAGGTTATGTACTGTTCGACGTGTGGAAAGAGTATTTTCTAAATCTTTTAGAAATTAAGATTGTACTGACCAGAATTACTAATTTCTTCGTAGATTTGCATGGAAACGTGTAGGACGAATGTTTTCTGTAGAAACCGGATATCACTTTCTGTGGAAACCGGATTCAGCTTTTTTCACTTTACAGATATGTTTTATTAATCGATGGAACGAAAGAATTATTCTCTCATAAAATAATTCAGAGGGTGTATTCTCCAATCGGAACTGTCCTGCTAATGTTACGACAAAGGTACGCAAAACATTCATTGTGCCAACACCAATATTCATGCATTAGCAGATTTATTGAGGCAAGTAGTTCTTTCTAAATAATACTTTTTTTGCCTTTAAATAATCGTTCTTTTCACATATATGTTAATGTTGGCCGTAAGGTTTCTGCATATAATGAAAAAATTAGGTTAACTTTTTATACGCTTACAGGAAACTTTTATGATGTCAAAGTAAGAAACATCATTTGTGAATGGAAGATCAGGGTTTGGGAATCATTCCCCACTTTCTAACTCAAGACCTAATAGTTAATCAGATATTTCGACGAAGACAAATGAATTACCTAATAAAAGGAGGAGACAAAAAAAAGAGCAAGGATTGGAAGAGAAGGAATAAAAGAATGATATATATTATCACTAATAGTGTGTGATATGCGAACTACTTCCCTGGCCAACAAGTTTTTCCAGGTTTTGGTACAAAGTCAGGTCTAGAAGTTTGTGAAGTTATGCTTCTCATCCATCCTTATATCATTAGTGTGCTATTCATTTCTAGGTGTTTCTCAACAATTTTTCTCAAGCCCTAATTTGGAGTATCTGTATGGTGATTTTGAAAATTGGAAAAGGAATGATACGTCAGCCAGCTACATCTATTAGACGTATTCTGAGATTTCGAACTCTGCGCCTACCACTGTTTTATGGATTTTTGGCTTTACTGTTTCAAGTGCTGAATTAGTTCATTTTTTACACACTTTTCATTTTCTTCCTTAATTTGTTTGACATAATTTGTTTCACTTTTCGTCAATATCTGAATTTTATGTTTCCCTCTTAAAAACTCGTCCCTCTTTCCTGTGTTCTTGTATTAAATTACAACTTCTATGGATACTTAAGTAGGGAGTTGTAGTTTAATAGAGCTTTAGACCAGCAGGAAGTATGAACTTTGAAGCTTTTAAATCCGAAAAGACACTGTCGCCGGATATGATAACTGACATCGTCTAACCATTACTTGGTTCTACAAATTATATCAGGACAGACGATGGGCGATGCAATTTATGGATTGTGGATGATTTGGCTGTTTTAATTAAAAAGTTTTTCATTGAAAGCATATTTCATCAGCTTTAATAAGAAAAAGATCAACTTTTGTTGAGGTTTCACGATGCGGCTACAGTTGGTGTACAAATCAGGTCTCACCATTATCTCTTTGTGGTGCAATAGGTGGTTTATCATTATTTTTCTATCCTAATATTTCAATTGCTATGTATGTCTTTTGGAAATTTGTAGAGGTTGGTTTTTCGTTTTTTCTTCGTTAAAAAATCCCAATTAATGATAGTGAAAAAATAAAACTGATTTCTTCAAAACACTTCAGGGTTTCTTCTTTTCATACTATAATAACCTGATGATACCTTATGGGGATATAATCCTTTATGCACTTTCGACGGGTTATGTTGCATGGAATGCGGTGATCGAACCTCAAGCGCTCAGGGAAGGCTACTGGAAATTCCTTGCTGGGCTTACAGGAAATAAGTTAGTCATCTTTTTTTTTTCTGCATGAATTTGGTGCTCCAATCATGATTTTGGTTAAGTAAGTTTAGTTATGAAGTGAAATTCAAGAACTAATCTTATACCCGGATTGTTAAATACTCCGATTTTTTCATTTATCAATGGGGCTTTTTAAAGTATGGAGTGAGGGGTTGAAATGTCGTATGTCGCATTGTAATTTCAGAATTGAGCAATTGAATAGGCGCTTGTTTGATAGTTTTGGTTATAATTCTTCGAAGAAGTTTCCGCATTTTATACCGAAGCTGGATCCAAGGTTCACATTACTTAATGGAATATGGTCAACTATCCATCATGATTAGTCTTTCATAATATTATTTTGGCATACCCTAACTTGTTTTACTTCCAAAAATTTTATGATTCATGATGAGCAAGTTTTGCTGTGCTGGATAGCTGGATTATACGGTTCAAAGTTACGCCAATATAGTAATTCCGTTGTCCATATCCTACTACCGTTTGTTTTATTAGTTTGTTGGCGCCAAATCAATGCTTGTGTGATATGGAGTTTTGTTCCATTGATTCTCACTTAAGTAATATTGCTGTATTAAAGGGGTTTTTTGCCATTACCGCCTCATCACTATAACTTTCTCATTGTTCATCAGTACTGATATTCGGTGCTTTTCAAACGTTTTGATTCGCTTTGTGTCAATCTGTGATCCATAATCTTCATGCATTTTTCTGTTCCTTGAAATTTTTCATTACTCGTTATCCTTAGCTTCTATGTTTCTTGTAATTCTTGGTTGCTTTTTACCTCATCATCTGTCATACATTATCCATCCCTTGAATATCCTAGTTCGTTTCTTTTTTTTAAATATTTATTTAGGGTGACCGTGAAATTGGTTTCTAGCAAATACTGTTGTTACAGCTCGTGCAAACTGCTGTTTTTTTGCTAGTAAAAATTGCAAAACTTTTTTATACTGCGATTCTTATACTTTTATATTGCATATATCTACTTCAAACAATATGTCGTTAAGGCGGATTTTTTTCTCGACCTTTCATAGAATTTGACATGCAGCGAAAGTGGGACGAAAATGCGAAGGGTACAAGTTTGTAAGCATTGTGATCAAGTTAATGTGGTCCACAGCGTGATATCGTGATATTTTAGCTAGAAATATTCATATTCAAAAACTTCCAGCTACTTCGTTGCCACTGTTTCCTGAAATGATTGATAAGATCTGAAATGAGCGGTAACGGTGTGATTGAAGGATGACCGAAGGAAGTTGGAGTGACACTGATTTCCTGTCTCAAATTGTGGATTTCATTCTGAAGTACAAATTTTTGTATGATCACCCGAACATCAAATTTTTATCAAACAATTTGTGGCGACGCATACCACGCAATGTAAGACTTCTTATCTTGTCCAATGATCTGTTCTCAGCATCGGTCTTAGAATCCAGACTTGTTTATCAGTGATTCAGAGGCACTTCCCATCAAATATCAAATGGCTTCTTGGTTTATCTTCGAGATATTTCTACACGCACTAATTTTCGGAAATGAGTCAAGCAATAAAGACGAAGAACAGGAGTCCTTAAATGCAAATGATTTTTTTTTTATTCCCGTAAAATATACTGGCGGAAGCTGATTTTAAATCTTAGATGTGGCTTATTTCAGTGGTTACACTACCTCGAAAAATTGAGCAACGAAGAACTCAATTTGTTCCCTTTTCAGAAACCAACACCAGTAAGTTACTAAATTTATTTAGTAATAAATTATAGGTGTTCTCTTGAACTCATTTCCGGTAAATGAATTTACTTCTATCTTCTGCTCTCGGTACACTCAATAAAAAGTTTCAAGCTTTTCATATTAGATCCATAGCAAAGTGATAGTGCCACCGGATGTTGCAACGCTTGACCAAGAAAACCTTCAAATCATACTGTTGTGTAATTGAGATGAGGAATGATGGACTATAATGATAAAGCACATAAGTTAGAGCCTCTTTGTAATTTACATCATTTGTGTCATTACAGAAATCCCGCATTCCTAAGATTTGAGCAGACTATGAGGTTCCAATTTTTTGAGTATACAGGAAGTCGTGGATGACTGTAGTGGTGCAAGGAAATACATCAACGTTTGAGAACTTGGTGAAAATCCAGAAGTTTCGGCTCACTTTGTTTCTTTTGTCCGATTTCAGTACTGTCCTGAGACTTTGCTCGAATTTCATGCTGCCAGTAATAAAATATTTACACATCTATTCAATGCTTGTTTGGCAGCAGTTTTGCCCGATAATTTGTCGCAGTTCGCGACGCCGATGATCCAAGGGAACAGTTCTATGACTATCAAAAAACGCCATGAAGTTGAAAACTTTACAGTTTTGCTTATGATATACTGCAAACTCTATGGCATTAACCGAATTGTGGATGTTGGATGCGGAGTGGTAAGTCTTTTACACATTGATCTCTTATCGTAAGATTCAAATTTTGATTCGAACTTAAAGATCATTCCAAAAGAGACAGTCAACTTGTAACTGCACAGGTGGTAGGAGTGTTGCTAACTTGTATAGGATTTTTATGCAGAATTTAATTTAAGATTTCCGGATTTTCAAATTTTTAAAGCTAGCGTTCTTTTCCGTGTAATGAGTATTTGATAACTGAGGAATGTTTAGGGACATTTGATCAATCAGCTATCACGACACTGCAGAGTTGTTGGAATAGATTGTAATGAAAAGTTTTGCCAACATGCCAGAAAATCCTGCGGTAAGTAATAAAATGGTACTTATTATTTTAAAACACGACAAATCTACAATCATTTCCTGCAATCTTTATTATGAACAACTTTCGTTTTTATTTTTAATTTGCAGCATACGCCAAAATTATTTGCTTAACTATCATTTGTGATGGCACAGAAGATAAAAATTTGTTAGAATTCCTTTCGGGAGATGAGGTTTGAATTTTGCTTTCAACTTTAATTGCTGATGATGCAATTTTTTAATTTTGTAAAGGTTTTACGAATTAAAATGATTAACATGCAATTGCATTTGCATTCTGCATTGTTTTAAATGAGTTTGTGTCAGAACTTACAGAGTAAATAAAGCATAAAATTGATAATTAATGATTTTTCCTAAGTGACATTTTAAACGTATGGTTATTTCAGCATGATCGAACTGCAGTAGTTTCATTGCATGGTTGTGGTGATCTCCAACCAACACTTTTACGTCACTTCTGTAAGCTGGATCGTAATCGAGTGCCACTTATCTTTACCATTCCATGCTGTTATCACAAAATGTCGAATTTAAGTAAGTTTATCCAATGGTTCTTCCTGGTAATTTTGCCAGATAGGTTCGAAATTTTCCATAAATAAATAAATCCTAAAAGAAAACTTTACATTGTACATATATATATATATATATATGAAGATTTAATATAACTAATTTAGAGAAGGAAATGTTTCATTGGACGATGAGTCAAGAAGTAAAAAGACGACCTATTTCCAGCGAAGTATTGCCAGTGAGCGCGCTAAGGTTGGCTTGTCAGAAGCACATTTCCAGGTGAGTGAAAGAAATTTAAATATTATATCCAGTTTTTCTAGATACCGTGTATAACTTCCGGTATCATTTTGTTCGTTCTTCCATATCCAAAATGTTGCAGTTGGCCAAGTTCTGATGATGATCGAAAAGAACATACAAAGAATTTTGTCGGTCGAGCTTTGCTAGAATGTCTATATGACAAACACAAAGGTAAAATTTTAACTTTCCTAAACTGAGCTTCTGTTTTCAGATTGGAAATTTCTTGCTTCATAATGGCATATGATTTCCTTACCCATCCTAGTGTTAAATTTGTGATTTCACAAACGAATTTAGATCAATAAGCAGTATTGATTTCTTACGCGGATTAGTACTTTATGTGCAGTTTATGTGCAAATTAACATGAGGAGTTCAATCAAAATATTTGCATACAGTTCAGTTTTTTGCTAGTATCCGGCGAACTTCAATTTAGAACTTATTACAACTTGAAAACTTAAGGTTTCGATTTTAATTTTGTCCCACGTTTATTTTTTGTGATATTTTATCAGTAAGTGAGTGCTAGATAGTGAATGCAACTTTTCAAATTTTGGCGAGTTTTATAAATTCATGGATTAATACGAATTTCGTTAACTTCCATTTAATTTTAATCTCACTTTTCTTTTTAAATTTTTGCCCATATATATATATATATATATATATATATATATAT